AGTGAATGTTCGGGTGGGAAGTGTGTGCTGACAGCCAGTCTGGGGGTGTAAGAGAGAGAGAGAGAGAGAAAGAGACAGCGAGAGACATAGAGACATAGAGACATAGACACACAGAGACATAGAGACATGGAGACATAGAGACATAGAGACATAGAGACATAGAGACATAGAGACATAGAGACATACAGACATAGAGACATAGAGACATAAAGACATAGAGACATAGATAAGAGCCGGAGAGAGAGAGAGAGAGAGAGAGACAGAGAGAGAGAGAGAGAGAGAGAGACAGAGCCAGAGAGAGAAAGAGAGGGAGAGAGAAAGAAAGAAGAAAAAAAAGAGCCAAAAAGAGAGAGGGAGAGAGAGAGAGAGAGTGAGCCAACTCATTTTGTGGGAGCAAGGTAATGTGTCCAATATTTCCCAAGTCCAACGTGAAGGTACAGCTGAGAACCAAGTCCAACTGCAGGCAGAATTCACCAGTCAACAAGGCACCCGGAAAGAATCTGATGGAGTTGCCATCCGTTGATGTCTCCAGTCTCTGGAACTCTTGAATACCTTTCAAGTGGTGGGCGCGCTTCGGGTCTAGGGTAGGGTACACGTACCAGGGAGGGGCTGGGGATCTAGAACCTTGCCAGGATTCAGAAATCCCAATCCTTTGTCTGGCACTAGATGAATCTCAGCCGAACAAGCGCCTTCGACGCCTCCCAACCTGTGTTCTCCTTTTTTGGCTTACTCCTCTGCAAGTTGACATGGAAGCCAAAAAGTGTGCGGAGACTTCTTCACAGTGATGTTGGGCCCCATCTTCAGCACTACATTTTTCAGGAAGACCAACGGGCTCGAGATTTCTGTTGTGATCCACAAAGTTGTGCACTTGCAGTCACAAGGTGCCCTGGTATCCTCAGGTGAACTGTCTGGGCAAAAAGGTCTCACCCCAAAGGAGATTCCTCCAGGGGTTATCTGCAGGACTGCATTTCCTGAGTCTGGCTCGGATGTCTCTACAAACAATAAAAACATAAAAGAAGAAACACACATGAAGCCAAAACAGTGGGTGGGCCGGGCCCGTTGGTCCCTGGAAAAGGACACCAACCCGAGAACATGCTTTTCCCCGGGGTTCCCGTGCCTTTTCAGCAATGGAGCTTGTGGGATCTAAGGGCCATAGAAACCCAACCGGGGGGATTTATGTGGGACAGTTGGCTTTTCTGCCGGTTTCTGAGTTTCTTAGACGGGAGAAACCCCTTCTCTCGATCTGATTGGCCAAGACGCCGCAGCCGCATTCGCCCGTCCGCAGCGTGCGCACGCATGCATGGCCTGCGGCTGAGGAACCGTTCCCTTCCTCAAACAGGTTGGGGGAATTTCGCACTTCCGCGATTTTGGAAGGCCTTCCAACTGGCTCATTGCGTGGAAAAAAGAGTCTCTGGTATCAGATAAGTGGGTAATCCCCTCCTTCCAATAACCCTCCCAAAATGGAAATGCTTCGATGCCTTAAACGTTGCTGTTGTTCTTCTGTGTAAGACAAACCTGGTCACCCAACTGGGACGGCTGGAGGATGCCACGGTTGACACAGAATTCAACAACCCAAAGTGTCCCTCTGAAAGCGCACCTTGAGCATGGCGTCTGATTGCCCGCGGGTGAGGTCGGCGCAGGGCCAGGAAACTTGAGACAATGTTCTGACGGGTTCGACGAAAAAGCAAAGCCAGTAGTGGGAAGCCAGGATTGATAGAATAAGAGGAGGGTTTCAGGGAATGCTTCACTTTTCGGGGAACACACTCTATTAATCCTTGAGGTTGATTTATCCCACGTCTCAAAAGGTTACTTGACCCCAAGACAGACCCTCCGAGAGCCCATTTGGCTCAATATGGGTGGGTCTCGTTCAAGCCCCTTTGGTCTCCCAGAAAGGCCAGCCCAAAAAAGAGTTCCCCCTCAGAAAGAAGCAATACAAACACACACACACACACACACACACATATATATATATATACACACTCATCTTCTTGCCTCTTTGGTGTCCCTTTGAAGCAAACCAACAGCACTGCCCCGGCCTCCGCCATTGGGCAGTGGGATCGAGCATCGCCGGTCGCTGGACGCTTCGACGCTTTGCTTTTTTTTGCAGGGCGGTGTCCGAGTCCAAGCGTAGGACGGCAAACTTGCTGAAAAGTCACGGATTCTCAAGAAGTGGTTAAACAAAACTATGGCTTCGGCCATGCAAAACCATGAGCTGGGGTGGCTCAGCATCATGCCGCAATCCAAAAGGGGACGATCTGTAAAGTATCAACGGCGCTGCTTGGGCAGAGTTGATTGCAATTTCCAGGCCCTGGTCTCCACAGGGAAAGGCCAAGATGTATCTGCTTGGTGCCATAGGCTTTGGCACACCATGTTGCTATCGCTTGACTTCACCTCGCGGCTAGCCATCCTCAGACCCTGTCAGCTCTTCATCCTCTCGCGCAAGTCAGAATGGTCAGCCGACCAAAAAATCGTGAGTGTCCCATCCCGCTTAACATCGAAAGCCTTTGCAGCCTTTGCTGGGCAAAGAGTTTTCCTGCCTTTGCCTGGCAGTTTCTCGAGCCAAGACCGACGTGCCGAAACCAAACGACTCGACTTGAGTCAAACTCATCAATCGATGGCCGGCAAGGTGCGCACCTGCAGTTGCCCAGTCTGGAAAAAGGGAACCCGAGGTCGACCGATTTTTAGTGGCGGCCCAAACAGAAAGGAGCTGGGAAGATATATCTGATGCGCCAAGGACATCGCGAAAGGGGGCGCTTGGGCGCTGCCTTCTTGGCATTGCCGATCTCCACCGGAACTAATCGCTTCATGACCTGCGCCGAGTCGTTCTTGGTTCTTCCACTGACTCTCCGGGAAAAAAAAACTGGGTGTTCCTTTAAACCATCATTTGGATTTCAAACCCAGTCTTTTCAGTTGGGGCTTCCCTTCAAACCATTTGAGTGCAAAACTGACCTTGGGTTTCCCTTTAAACCACCATCTGGTTCAGCCCACAGCAATTGTACTCCAATCATCGGGGTGGATCACTGGTCTGTGAAACAAGGCAAGCTGTTGTTCACCCCAATCGGTGAGCTCGTGGTTTGTGCAGAAGCATTCTCCCTCGAGATGCTTCTGGGCAGGTGGACAACTTGCATCCAAGACGGCCTCGTCGAAGCTGTCGGCGCCGGTATGGATCACCTGGCAAAATTTGGCCATGGGTCAAAACCCCGTACCATCCCAATCCCCACTAAAATAGACTAAAATGGGTGGTGCACCTATCCCAAAATGGTACGTGCCGGGCTCAGAAATATTGAATGAATGGGTGGGTGTCAAAGGGAACCCCGACAATCGTGGGTGTTCCTTTTGCTATCCCTTTCAACCAACCTAAATTAGGTTACCCTCACAAAAGCACGCCCTGATACAGCCCCCTCCCCCCCCCCCCCCCGATTCTTCCCGACATGTTGTTTGGACCCTTGAACCAAAAAGGTAAACAGGTTTGGGGTGTGTTAATCCCTGGCTGCTTTTCGTCGCAGGGCGCCAATTTTGGAGGGGAGCCTCTTCTCACCTTTCGGGGCAACTACCCATAATCCAAAGGTGCCGGAGGGAGGGAGGGAGGGAGGGAGGGAGTCAGGGAGGGAGGGAGGGAGGGAGGGAGGGAGGGAGGGAGGGAGGGAGGGAGGGAGGAGGGAGGGAGGGAGGGAGGGAGGGAGGGAGGGCGGGAGGGAGGGAGGGAGGGAGGGGAGGGGGGGAGGGAGGGAGGGGAGGGAGGGGAGGGAGGGGAGGGGAGGGAGGGTGAACAGGGTTTCCCAACTTTAATGGTACAATACGTTGGTGTACATTGGATGACTTGTAGCAGGGAACATCATCAAGTGCCTTGATCAGATCCAGTCATCGTACCTTTCGTCGTATACTCTCGGGTCACCAGTGCGTCTTTTGTTGGAGGAATGTGGTCGATTTCAACAAAGAACCCAAACAAGTCCCCTGATCTGTGAACCGCGGATGACAAGGGTCCCTTGAAGAGGAAATGGGTGTCCCAGGTATCTTGCTGTGTTATTGTGAGTAACATCTACATGCTTGATCTTTCTTCCAAGAGTATGTTTCTTTGGACTTTGGATCCCTGCAGGGTGCTTCCAAGACAACCCCCCTGGAGAAAACAACTGGGGTTTACAAACCAGGGGTTCACAAGATCTCAGACAAATGAACATGGCCCCTGGATCGCTCAAGGTATATCAGAGAAAAATCGGAGATCAGAAATCACTAAGCCATGCGTCAGCACCTGCAGCGGCAGCCAAAAAGGTCCCTCCAGCGACACAAAACATAACATGCGGCGCCAGCACCAGCAGCACCCAGGGACATTTACAAACCGAGGACGGGTTTTGGGAGGTGTTAAAGGCAAACTCAATGGAAAACGAAACGCATTTCGTCGGGTCTCCAAAGAGCACCCTAATCATCAGAATCACCCGAATCTATCCACAGAGTTTTCAAGGCAGCCAAACAGGAATCACCGTTTACGGGGGCCCGCTATTTCCAGGGACAAAAAAATGCTTGCCACGCTGATTGCCATGCCCTGCGCTTCAACCAGTATGGCTTTTTGGTTGCCACACACCAAAATCTAACAGAGAAGCACCTATGTTTTGTGATAGCCACTTGCGTATGTGTTCACAGAACAAAGGAACCCGCAAAACTAAACCAAACACCATCCCACAACGACTATTTTTCGCCATGCAAACGAGGCCCAAGTACTGTCCAAACAGCTGTTGTTGGGGGGATGAACTGAGAACGCTTGATGGAACCCACAACCATCTTCGAGCCATAAGCTGTGCCAGGCGCGCATGCGCTAAGTCCTCCGTGCAAATCACACCTTGCGACCCGGTGAGCTTTTCGGACAGCACGTCGCAACACATATTTCACCGGTTGCTACCATGCGTTGTTGTTTTTTTCTTCGGCGGTAACATGGCAACACTGACTGTAGCGGAACCCATCAGTACCGATGTCCCAACCTTGAGGTTTGGTCATCCCTTGAAGGCTTCGTGAGGGGCGACCGGTGTCGTAGGCTGGGTTCGCCTGCCTTAAGGCTGAGGGGCTGGAGTGAATGTGCCCAGGGAAACGATGAATGTTCAGGCATGACGGGGTTTTGCCAGTGGAAAAGTCACCTAGAGACACCAACGGACACAGCCGCAGCCGGCCAAAAGGAGACAGAGATCGCTGCATTCAAAAAAGGGACCAGGTAAACCAGAAGGGGCAGTCTTGGGTTTTGCTGGCCAGCGTAGCACACTCAAACCGCCGCAACATGCTGTGAGGGAGCTTGTGCTAGTCGAGACACTATGCATTTAAACACCGACAGCTGCGACATGAACACGATCCTGATTTGCCCTCTAGCACAGAGTTCTCTGTTGTTAATGCTCACCAACAGCAAGGGGAAGCTTCCCAAAAGAAACTTGGTGGATAAGCCTCCTTTTAAGGATGCTGCACGCCCTCTCACTTTCAAAGGGTACAAGGACCCTCTGAATTAGTCCAACTGACTCCGTGAAATCACTTTCCGTCGAGAGAGGAAATCATCGTTTCCAGAAGCCACGATTTCCTCACACACCAAAGTGCACCTACATTATGCGCTTTTTGCAGGTGCAGTTCGGGAAACCAAAGCACAAATATGTCCACGGCCGAGCCCACGCGGGGTACGCGGGGTGGTCCTGTAAGGGTTGGCACACGTTTCCAATCGATTCATTTGCGCTTGGTAGATTACTTGTGGCTTGTGGCGGCTCACACCGCTTAATCCGACTGGTTGACTAATCTGGGGTCAACATTGAAGACGTAGAATCCCTAGGCATCCCAAACAGTCTCGAATCAAGAAGGCTGGAAAAAGACAAACCCTGCTTCCCAACGCACGCAAAAAGAACACAACAGCTGCAGATTCAGAACAGTAGGCCACCAGGAAGCCTTCATACTAACCCCTGACTCAACCCCCCCCCCCACAAGAGATTATACAGAGGAATCTCCCTGGAAGAAAGGATTCCAACCACTTTAAGGGACCCCCCAATTGCCTGATTTGCTTGGGCTTTTGCTTCGTGGGGTCTGCAGACTTGTTGCATCTCCCACAACAAAGTCAAAGGGCTCTTTCTTAAAAGGGACCTGCTAGGTGCGCTGCCCTTTCCTGGTTAGGCTACACCACCCCCCCATCACCTTGCCCTTTTTCGGGTTTGACCAGCCAGAAAGACCCGCCCATCCCGCTCCGTTCATCCGAAAGACCCAGGTCTGCCAGGTGCTTCTCGACCAGCATGTTGTCACTCAGCGCCTCGGAGTGCACACCAAATGGGGACCCACCAAATGGGGACCCACCAAATGGGGCTAGGTCTCCATCTAGTTCCCCCCTCCCTTTAAAAAAAACACCCCCCCTTTGTTGGGAGCCCTCAAAAAGGCACGCATAAAGGGGGTTAGAAGGAGCAATTAGAGGCTGCCCCGTTTTGAAGGCGGGGAAACTGAGGAGAACGACGCATTTGCCGCCAGAAGCTTTGGCTTTCCCGAGCCAGTGGTTCATTTCATCCGGCATTTGAGGAGTTCCTAGCCCAAAGCGAGTCCCGTGATATGGCGGCCTCCGTTTATCAGGTCTCTTCTAGAAACAAATATCTGGCCATTGGTCTCTTACGGAAATCTCTTCGGGAAAAAAAATGACAAAAAAGAAGAAGAAACAAAAGAAGTTCTGGCCTTCGTTTTGAGATGCCAATTGGTCCAGCCATGTATATCGAAGTTTGAGAGACTCGCAACAGCCACAATCCAGAGGTTGGTCCAAGGCTGTCACGCGCAGCATCCATCGAAATCGATAACGATGGCCGTTTCAGGATGCTTGGAAGAGCTCCAGTCCCAGGCTTGCAGGGACTCTTTGCAGCCATCACAAAGGATCAAAAAGCACCTTGAAAGGACCCGACAAGGGGAAGTGCCCTTTCGATAGTTGGGTTACAACCCCCTTGTGTTCAAAGAAACGCCCAACCCGCTTGTTTCATGATGACAGAGAGAGTGGACGTTCTGAGACGCACATGTTTTTTGTTTGTTTTTTTTTTGTTTTTTTCCCCGGACATGGGCATGCTCTTTGCTGCTGGTTCAGGACAACGATAACGTTGCTTTGGGATTGAAAACAATATCAATATGAGCTGTCTCCGAATGGGGGAGCCCCAAAATAGGCGCAGTCCTTTTGCTTCCCCTTAAGGGCAAGGAAAGGGTGCCCACAAATAACTCCTAAAATCCAAGGCTTTTTTGTCTTACGCTGATTACCTCATGATCCCTGCACAAGGTCCAGTCTCAACGCCTTGTGTGTCTGGATTCTGAAAGGCTTTTTGCGAGGTCATCCAGAGACGTGTTCCGGTGTCCATCAGCTAATTCAGCTGAAAGTAGCTCACGCACACATTCAAGAAACAAATCTTCATCACAGGCCACAGGCAAGTCTAACTCTCCAACACATGTGGGCAAATTGCTATACTTCAGAAACCTGCAATACGAAATTCCCAACAAAGGAACCTTTATCATGCGTAAGCTCGCTTTGCCTCGGATGAGCTCGTTATAGTTTGTCCATTATTCCCCAACAGCTGAAAGATTTTGGGTCTCAGCCCAGATAGGCTCCGTGGTGGTCCGGGGTGGCCCTGAGGTAAGGTTCCACCAGGGTCCACCAGGGTTCCACCAGGGTTTCACCAGGGTTCCACCAGGGTTCCACCAGGGTTCCACCAGGGTTCCACCAGGGTTCCACCAGGGTTCCACCAGGGTTCCACCAGGGTTCCACGAGGTTCTGCGAGGGCTGCGGGCTGGTGCGAGCACAAAAAGGAGCACCGCATGCTGTTGGGGATATCAGCTAAGCTTATACTTTTTATTGTGCTGGTTATGGGAAGAAGCAAAACCGCCTCTTGAGAACTGTCCAACCTTGGAATGTTAGCAAACAAGCGTGTTTTGGCTGGCGCACTACCAAGGCAACAAATCAAGAACGCCGAACAAGTCTATATAGCAGCAACTGTTCAACAATGCTAACATAGGACCCCCTCAACACAAAACTCGTGCTTGCCTTTTTGGTTTCCGATTGAACCAAGCAAAACAGGGTACACACACAAATTGGCAAGGGATTGATGAATTTACCTGAGTGCCCTTTGACACCTGATTTGACCCCGGATTAATAATCCTGTGGTCGATAAATAGGGGGGACCTTCCTTTACTTTTTGGCGAAACACCCGCCTATTGATCTCACTAATCTGGGTGAACAGTGCTTTCTCCGAGCAGCAGGCAACTGCAACTGTCCTCCAAAATTCCCCCCCCCAGTCACAACAATCGAAATCCGAATCCTACAGGGTGCGCAAAAAAGCACGAAAAGAAACGAAAGGGGGGGGCCTGAAGCCTTATGCTTGGGACCGGCTCGCGCGGCAAAGCTTCAGCACGTGGCTCCTCTCTTCTCAAATCCAAGGTCTCAGATCCTCGGGGCCGGACCACCTTCGTCTGCGCCTCCCTGTCAAAGAAAACAGCCTGGGCAGCATGCAGGCGGCTGCTTCGGAGCACTGAAGAACTCGATGTTGGTTGCTCGCGGTTCAAGGTGTCTGTTTTGACTTATCCCGAGGGGAAGGTTAGCACAGAAAAAAGGAAAAAAAGCTGGTTGATCAGAGACAGGATCCGGCAGCGCGTTCCAGGCAATTGGAGACCTGCTGTGAGTGTCTGACATCTGAATCCTGGGCAAAGTGACACGTATTTATCAAAATTCAGACATGCTGAATTTCACCTCTAGAAACTGCCCACCAAAACCTGCGGTCTTGACGAACTTCCCGTAGAATTTCCTGTAGGCTCAAAAGTCGATAGGATGACCTCGTCCAATGCCTCCACCCAGGTGGAAACTTAAGTCTACCTCCGGAGCCGAAGCGCCCGGCCGGGCCTCCGTGTTTATACATGGGGGTTGATCAAAAGGTCCTTCACATGGCATTAACAGCAGACACGCCACAAGAGAGATGATACATCCCACTGATGGAAAAAAAGTGTATCTTTGTCATTTGGGGTTCAACTCCCACATGTTTTTGCGTTGTTGATTTGTTTGCATCTATGCATGTATGCATGAAGATGTATGTGAATGCAATCTGTATGTATATACAATATACAGTTGTGTGTGTGTGTGTGTGCGTGTGTGTCTGTGTTGTGGTTGGTACTGAAAGCATTTCACGCCTGGAAGGTAGGCTCCACGGGCCGATGATTGCTGATGTCCACATGTTGGCTGCAGAGGAAACAGACAAAGAAGAACTCACGCCACCCGCCCCTGTGCGTTTATATGATGGCCACCTTCTGATAAACTTCCCTGATACGTCAGCCAACGGAATGTTCTTTGGCAGCCCCCACCCAAAGTATGGTTGCAAACCTACAAGATCAAACCACAACTGAGTCACAATCAAAACCCGGTACAAACATGGTCCGCCCAGAACCATGTAAAGAACTAAGAACGCGGCCGCGGCTATTTGTGGCTGGGATCGTCCCTTACTAAACTTCACTTACCCGGGTTTTGAGCACGTGACTCAACTGAAGACCGGTATGCCTCTTTTGTAGCTGCAACCGCGCCCAGTCTCTCCCTGCCTTCTTATGCACGACGGTGAACACAGACTGGCGAGGAAAATCCCAGCCAGCCCACTAGCCACCCAACCCACCCCCCGGGTTTTGGATGAGTGCTCAAGGGAAACGACAAGGAACCCACACATGTTGTTTGGGGAGTCGGCCTCTCCTTGAAAAACTTGCTGCGTTGCTTTTGATCACAGCTTTTTGAAACTTGACCAGATTCTGGCATTGTGCTAGTCCAGTCGCCACTTCAGTAGCTGCTGCAGGACAACCACTGAGATTTGTAGGGTCTAATATCCCTTGTGTGTATACCATTGTGAATTCCTCTTAAGCCTCAGCCTGTTTCCGTCAAAGGCCTGCTGGAAACATGTTTTAACTGGGGGGGGGGGGGGCGGGCGCCTTTTGTTCTGGATTTTGCTCCCCCCCGTTTCCGCTTTCTTGTCTCCTGGTCCATTTGGGTTTAGACTGGGTTGCACAACCCAACTGGGACCCTGACCCGCCGACTAACCAACTAGCCTTTCCGTGCTACCCAAGTGGGTGTCCCATCCCCAGGACATCATCAATAAAGGCGATAGCAGGACGTGGCCAGCCCAAAACCAAAGGAGAACAACGCAACCATGAACTCGTCCAAGAGCGAAGGATTCCATTTCAAATGGGGCGCTCTCCTATCAAACCAACCCGAGGTTCATCAGTCAAATGGTTTAACATTATGCATGTGTACAACATGTCTAAAACCTGCTAAGGACCCCCAAGTGAACCAAACATATCATAGCCCCCCACGTGATCTCGCCAAAACTTGGAACCTTCGCCGGGCTCCAACGAAGCGCCCGTCCCTTCACCTTGAAGGACGGCACGCCCCAGAAGACGTAGGCCCTCACCGTCTGCAGCTTCTTGGCGGTGTCCTGCGGGTTTTTGCTGTCTTGGCCGACCATCTGGCATGACGTCTCCGGTAAGTCAAGTGCGGCCTGACACCGAAACTGGGCCAAATGTCTAGACCCCTGCAACAAGTGAGAGCGTTGCTTGTTGAAGGGAGAACGAAGGAAAGCCAAAGGGGGACAAGGCAAAAGGGGGACAAGGCAAAAAGATGAGTGTAAGTTTGGCGACGGATATGAGCTGTTGATTGGCTTGCTGCATGGTTGAGAAATGGCCATTTCTTGGATATCGATCGTAGTTGATGTCCATCCTCATGACTACTGAATGGCAGGGACTAACAATTTGATCGGAAGCCTTTCAAGTGCAATCCTAAGCCTACGAATGCTATGGGGAATGTTTTCTCGTTTTGCAGGTCCCTTTGGCATAGGATGGACACCGGGTTTCTTGGACTGACATTTGCCCTCCTCTAAAATTAGCATGGAACCTCCCCCCCCCAAAAAAAATGAAACAAAAAAAACCATCGCTTTGGGAGATCCCCTTTTGGGGAAAACCCCTTTTGATCCCAGGTCGATCAGCAGAGCTGTTCCTTTCTTTTCAGGGCATCGGCCATCGCTCAACGCGTTTGCGAGGTCGTTTCAGACCATTCTTGGGGGCGGCAAAAACACTTCCACTTTTTCTAGGGGTTGGTTCCCCATTATTTAACGTTTTCCCCGGGGTTCTGGAGGCTTTCTAGAAGGATCCCTGGAAAGAATGGGGGAGGTACCCCTAGACTTTTGTTGACCCTTCACCACCACACCTCCCGCCCACCGGGAGGGTGTGCTCATTTGCGCGCAACCCGCCTCATTGTTCGGCAGGAAGGTCATGGTATGCCTGCAGAGATGCAGACGGCTCGCAGGCGCAAACGCGAAAACCCAGGCGGAAACTGGGGGAAAAGCTTCAAGCCGGGGACAAACGGGCGAAGGCACCCCACCATGGGGTGCCCTCTCGTGGACCAGTGGACTGAAGCAGTGACCCAACCATGTGTTCACGTCGTGTTTGTTTGTTTCGGCGCCACCGAAGAATTGCGGTTTCTACCAGTCACGCCCGTTTTGCCTTGAAGACCAACGCAGGGAACTCACCCTTAATGGCAATTTCACACTCCCCTTGAAATGGGCGAGCTGTTGGCCGTTCAACGCCAACTGCGGCTTTGTCTCAAAATTTGGCCACCCCAACAAACAGCTTGCTGTCCTTTGGCTTGCCGTTAAACCAACCAAAAACCACACACACACACACCCGCACACCCGCACCACCCACCCACCACGCGTGCATGCACACCTACCTACCTACCTACCTACCTACCTACCTACACACCTACCTACCTACACACCTACCCACCCACCTCACCTAGCTACCCAGCTACCCGCCTACCCACCCACCTGCCCACCTACCTAGGTAACTAGACACCTCAAATTGGAAGAACCATCCTCGATTCCCTGATTGGTGCTTGTGATTTATGGACACCAGGCCCCGCCTAGTTCGCAGCCGCATGTGGTGGAGTAGCTTCTTCACCTGCCCCACGGCTCAGGGAAGCACCCAAGGTAGACGCAAACCCCAGGTGGTTGTTCGCCCAGGGTTCAGATCAAGCAAAACTTGGAGTTGTTGATTCTACCCCGCTTAAAGAATCTGCGGTTTTGGGCGAACACGAAGTAGCCCAGGGAAGCAAATGAGCACAAGGTAGATCACAAAGTGCCCACAGCACCCGGAAACACAACTCGGATGAAGCTGTGGATGATGACCGGGTTGAGGATGTGACGGTAGAAGAGGAAAATGTTTGGGGAGGTTTGGAAACACGTTGCAATAGTAAATCGGGAAGTATGCCACCAAGCCCAGGGCGCCCGCGCCGTAAAACCAGGTACCTCCTAGTGCCAGCCCTATCCCGCACCAAGCAGCAAACTACTTAATGAGGGGGAAGACCGCCGCACTATGGCGCCTGACGTTTTACCGCAGAAGACCTGTCGGGAGGTGGAAAACTTGAGCCAAACGGCCATTCGGCCGTTTTGCCACATGATGAAACAACACGTGAACAAAACACACCCCCCTCATCCGATATCTGGACGAGAGAAAGGATGCGAGACAGTTGAGTTCACGACGAAAGGGACCAACCAAAAATGCCGGTGTCAACTCAGAGGTGAGCCAAACGGCATCACCTGGGCCCCAGTTAAAATCCCGCCACCACCCCGAATTATCGGGGCGACAGGATTATTTGACGAGTGGACCACATGAGTGAACAAAGACATATTGGAGGAACCATACGAAGATTCCTCTCGTGCCGTTCATGAGTTGTCATGGGACGATGCCATGCGGAGGGGGATCCTATCTGGATCACCGCGCCTCACTGCACGCCGTGGAGCGGTTGGAAGAGTAGTCGAGTTGGGAGGAAATTAGAAACGGAAGTTCCGAAATTGGTGAGAAAATATCCGGCTATGGCCGGCCCGGCACTTCTAGTGCGGTCACAGCCTCACACAGGATCGCCAGGGGAACCGTCTCCGGCGTGCACGGCAGCGGTGCGGGAGGGACACGAGCAACGCCGGATCAGCGGTACAGGGCAATGGAGACCATCACCCCCAGCAGCGCCGCATGGGCGAGAGGATGACCGGCGCGGTCGCGTTTTTCGGCGACACACGTACTATCCTCGCCCTTCTAAGGCGGATGCTGATTGCGGTACCCGCCTACCACCCTGAACCAGGTTCTTCCCGGTCCCTGGGCACGTCGTCTCTCCGGCGTCCGCCACGGTCACCTCGATCACCTCCTCCATCCCGACGGCGATCCTCACCATCACCCCTATTGTGGTCACCAGCCGGAGGTCGGCGAGGCGGAGGGGGATCTGATTGGTGACGTCGGTCATCCCTGCGCCGGTCCCGGTGGCGATCGCGACGGTCATCACCCGGGTCATCACGTCCGCGGCGCTCATCTCGCCCCGGGCCGCGCCTCTCGGAGGTCTCCTCATGACGTGGAGGAGGTCGGCGATCATCGCGTCGGCCTCCGCGGGTATCCCTGCCACGATCATCCCTTTGTCGGGGCGGGCCAGGATCCTCGCGTCCACCATTGCCAGGTCGATGTTTTCCTCGACCCTTCCCCTCACCCTTTGGACCGCGACGATCCTCGCGGGCCCCAAGCGCGGTCCTCGACCGATCGTCATCTCGGCGGGGCCGCGACTCATTTGCCGCACGAGTGGTCCGAGGCACACCCGGGGGAAGCTCCCACTCGTCGTTGTCGTCATCGCGCGGGTCATAGCCGCCATGGCCGCCCAAGGAACCGGTGGCATCCCGTGGTGGGGACGCAGGAGTTCCGGGACCACCCGATCGAAGACGAACTCGGGGAGTCGCGTCCTCGCCGGTAAAAGGATCCTTCTGGGTGTAGAAACCCTTGGTCCTGCCCCTTCTCTCCCCACCTTCCACACCGCTTCTCGCGGGGACCGGGGATGGACGGGCAGGCTGGGCCATGCTCTTAGAGCTGGGTTGCCCGCTAGGCGGGACCTGAACGCCCCCCTGCCCTTTCTCGGGCGCGGGGACCCGACCACGAGATGTCCTCCTGGCCTTGGGTTGGTCGGACTCACCCTCCAGCTCGGACTCGGTGTCAGGGACACGAGTATTGATGGCCATGTCCTCTTCCTCAAACGGATCCCCAGTCGTAGTAACGCCTGCCGCAATGGGAGCGGGAGGAGGAGGAGGAGGAGTTGGCACAGCATCGCCAGAACTGACGCCTGCATGCGGCACCACGGGAGTCTCCGGTTCTACCGGGACAGGCGGCGCAGGAGGAGCCGGGGGCGGTGGCGGAGGGGGAGGGATCTCCTCCTCGTCGTCGCCCATGGGCTCGTCAAGGTCGTCAGGCTTCTCGTCATCTTCGTGCGAAGAACCATTCCATCCCAGCTCATCCTCCGCTGATCCAGCAAAGTCGGGCTCGTCTTCGTCCTTCACGCCGGGGCCTGGTGTAAGGCGAATTCCGGGTCGATGGCGATCGCGGGGTCGGAAGCGGTACTTCCTTGGTACAGGGTCGGACAGCTCCTGTTTCATGTCATCCTGGGTTTGAGGACGGTCGGCCAAGCATGTGTCGTAGGCAACGGTGGACGTCCGGTAGATCAGATCGTCCATACTGCTGAGGTCGTTGAGGGTGTAGACATACCCCTTCTTAATGCCTTCCCGTATCGTGTCCATAGCCCGCTTGAGGCGCGCGGCAGGATCGAATCCGGCCTTTCTCCGCATGGCCTGCAATATCCCGCAGTGCTGTGCGAGCAGCCCCACCTGGAACTTGAATCCCTCCCCGGACACATCGTTGGGGAGTACCGGAGAAAGGTGTCCTGTTCTCAGCCCAATGATATGGGCCTCAAGAATGTAGTAGGACGTGTAAAAACCGCATCGGTTGGCGTTGAAGTTTGCGGTGGTTAGGCGTCTGCCCCACTCAGCCGCATATCCCTCATACTCTTCGAAGAATTCGGGGACGGAGCTCCCGTTGAAGGCCAGACCCCTTACCAAGATCGCCTTTGCTACCCACTCTTCCACGTTGTTGTCGACCGTGTCACGGTATTTGCCGTCAAGGACTTCGTCGTCTCGGAGCGAGTCGTGAAGTTTTCGGAAAATGCCATCCACGTCCTCTTTGTCAAGGTACTTAGGAGGCCGCATCCCAGACATCAACAAGGACCGGGCATCGACGGCGGGACTCTGCGAGTAGAGGGCCATTCCGATGGCGTTGGCGTCTGAGTTGTTCCACAGAGCGGGGACGAAGCCCTCGTATTTTGCCAGCCAGGGAGGAATCACCCCGTCAGTGCTCGCTATCGTGCGAGGGCCGCCGTTCGTGTCTCCGGTGGGCAGGACGCCATCGTAGAAGATGGGAAGGTAGCAGGCGGTGCACAGGTGAGCGCCGACCGGATGGGCCGTCATGCACCTCTGGCATGGAACGGACACCACCTCGCGGACATGTTCCGTCTTGGTGATCTGATGGTACTTCTCCATCTCGTCCCGACACTTCCTCGGGTTATCACTCAAGGAGTTGAGGAAGTTGGGCGGATAGCACCAAGGCCTCAGGTAAATGATGGAGCAGTCCTCCTGGAAGTAGACGCATCTCCAGTACCCGATCGCGATGTTCTCGCGCGATGCAAAGGTACCCTGACGAGTAATATGCATGCCCCCATTTTCCATGGAGAAGAAACGTGCATCGATAGCCATGACCACATATCGGGGATCGCTCCTTTGGCGTCGACCCGAGGTGTGCAGCTCCGTCACGTTGCTGTCGGTGATGCGGTCGACAGCACTCTCCGTGATCGCGGAGGGATTGATACTCATCCGGCCGAGAGGGAAGGAGCTCGATCAGAGCTCGCCCACCCCGAATGATCGCCCCACGTTCTACGTAGAGCCGATACATTCGGAGAGGCACCACCTTGTAGAGTGTCTTGGGAACCACCTTGGAGGTGAGAGGAAGACAAACAGGGCTCTCGTAGAGCATGTATTGGTATCGTTCACGAAATGCCCGGTAATCAGTGTCGGATCCGATATCAAGCGACCTTACCGCCGCTATGCGGGCGGAACCAGGCAGCAACCGACGCTCCTTGTCACGAATGACGGTGATGATGATCTCGAACATTCCCACCCCATCTTCGAGAAAGGAAGACAGGAGGTACGAAGAAAAGGCATCCTCAGACTCGACGCTGGTCCCGAAGTAGTGGCTCAGGAACTTCTTCAGTTGTATCACCGAAGTAACGTTCCCTTGCCCGCTGGCAGACGAGGCCTCCAACTCTGGGTCCTTGACTGCACCTGCATTTCCAGGCTGCACAGCTGTTCCACGGAGCGCGTCGCGTATTTCCGCGCATGCTCTCCTGTAGTAGTGCGAAGTGGCGCCCGTTCTACCCTTCACCTTCTGACGGATCTCGTCGGCGAAGTAGTCCAGAAGCTCCTCGGGTGCGGGAACAATGGCCTGGATCATCAGGTCAGGATCACTCTTGGTCGGGAGGATGGGCCCTGCCCTGGATCTCACTCCCATCTCCAGGAATCGGGCAATGTCCCCGATTTTGGCGCACAGAGTAGCGATCGTGTTTCCGATCCTGGGGGCGATATCTTCGCCTCTCCTGGCGCCGAGGATGACCACGTTTTTCTTGATGGACTCCTCCTTCAGCCTCTCGAGGTTCCTCCGGGTGTCATCAGTGCCTTTCACCGCGCTGAGGCGGAGAACCGCAGGCTCCGGTTTGTCCGGTCGCACGAGCTGGCCGTCGGGAATTTGGTCGAAAATGCGCGAGGCGGACTTCACTGCTGGGACATTCCTGTACTGATCCGGCACGCTGTAAAAGGCGTAGGCGAGAGTGTCATGCGAGGATGTCTCCCAGTACGTGTACTCCTCGGAATCACGCGGGTCACCGACGACGCGACTCACGGTCCTCAGCTCGGCCAGAGCACGCTCCGCCTCGAACTGCGACCCGATGGTCGTGGGCAGCATGGCCCTCTCCTCCTCCGTGCAGTCGACGTATATGAACTGACCGGTATGCAGATCTCTGGGCGCGGCGAAGGGCCCCGCAGTCCTCG